GAGGCTAAAATTCAAAAAGAGGAGAACAGGAAAAACCTCTTGATTGATTTTAAAAGTGCTGTACATGCAAATTAGTGACTGTTTTAAGCTGAGACAATTTTCTCGGGTTATAAGTTGATCTTATTTGTTTTTCATGGTTCGAATATATCAGAAGCTATAATCAATAGATAATAGATCATTATTTTTTTATTAATGTTGGCATGAATATGAATACCAGGTAGACTCGTAAGAGGGGGAGGGGTTAATCGTTGATCGGACGATCCCCCACAGAATAGGGAGTTCCGCTCTACTAGACCAACACATTTGCACGATTTATGCACTTGAAAGATGATTTGACGACGCCTCATCTAGTTAAGACAGAACTCGATCGATGGAAGTACAAATTTAAAAATGTTGCACACATAGGCCGACCTAGCAGTGCTCGCACGGGCTCTAAAAAGCTGTGATGAAACCATGTTTCCCAACATCTTTGTACTTCAGAAGATCGCATGCATATTGCCAGTTACTTCAAGCGAGTGTGAGCGAAGTTTAGTACCATCCGTCGATTATATAGGCATGCGTGCTTCTATGGGACAGTTTGGCACTCAACAATTCATTATGACGAAAAGATGGACGATGTTGTGAATTTATTGGCTTAACATCACCCAAGCAAAATGCAACTCGACTATTTATTGAAATAAGGACAATTACAATAGATTGTTGTCATTTACATATTTTCATAATCATCCATAAATCACTATATCGATTCCATCATCATTATTAATAAGTAACATATATTCTATTCTCAACACCATACACAAATTTTTCATTTCTTTTAATTTATTTTTTCTTGCTTTTTCCCTTCCTGTTTCTAAATAATAATAATAATAATAATTAACCAAGAACAGTTTTTAATGTTTTACATTGTTGTCATTGATTTATACTTTTCCAGACATTGCAAGTGATTCATATAGTTTTCAACTTAATTCTAGATTTTAATTCGACTAGGAAAACAGGGTATATCGGTTTGGTTTTCTCGTGCATTGTGTCAGCTAATAACCATGTTTTATAAATAATAAAGGCTGCTATATGCATAAATGGTTTATAATTTGGTTATGTTTGGTATTTGACAATACTTAGGTTTAAATGATATTTAGCCAACATTAGTTTAATAGATATGTGTGCCTTGGCCTTTTAAGCCTATGACATGCACTATAGTTTTTATGTGCGACTATACTCAAAAGACGCAAGGGTGTATTTAGGAATTTTCTGGGTGGGTCGTGATCATAATTTTTGGACCTTTTCAGTGGGAGGAAAATCGATTACAGCGCCACCAGCTTGAAGCGGATGAATTGAGATAGATTACGTTTTCTTTCTTTCTTTTATTGTTTATCCTGGGGGACTGCTCAGGGATAAAACCCTTGGTCGACTGCTCAGGGATAAAACCCCTGGTCCTCCGCAGATCCCAGCAATTGGCAACGGTCTTTGGACTCACTGCTGGTACCTCATCAGTGTTTTTTCAGTTATGTCATTGTGAAAATGCCCTAGAAAAAATGTCTTTTGAAAAAATGTGGACCTTTGAATTTGGGGGTGGGGGTGGGGTCGTACGACCTTCCCGACCCCGCCGATGATGATGATAGGATATCTGTAGACTACCGTACTTGATCTACTAACAATATCGCATGGTATAGTCTAATTCCAATTCAATATTTGCAGATATCAAATCGATTCAGTTTTAATTCATTGCAATTCCCTTGAAAGCAGCTCAAACACACCATAAGAACAGAGCATTTTGGATTAAAGGTGGCGGTCATGGTTTTCAACATTTTTCGAGAGAACCACCCCAAAAATTCCACTCCGATAGAAAAAAGATCTCCCCCTCCCCATTTTTACGGGCCTGGCTTGTGCAATCGCGGATCCTGAAGGCACGTGCCGACCCCCCCCCCCCCACCCACACACCCCCCCCCCCCCACACCAACACACCCAACGTTTTGTCACTAAATTGCACTACATATCTATGTTATGTGCTACTACTCACTTTTCTATTCTAAAAATGCAGTGTAACCCACTCTCGTTAGAAAATTCTGGATCCGCCCCTGTTGTGTATGGAGGTATACAATTAATTTGACATTTCCATGGTTTGTGCATGGCTCTTATAGTTGTACCTATCATGTTACCTTTTGTTAGCCCTTCTTACTATTTATTCGGGGAAAAGAGGTAGCCCTTCTCACTATTTAGGCCCTATTCGGGGAAAAAGATGACAAATCATTATTATCATTTATATTCATAGGCCTGCAGTAAGTATAGGCCCCTATACATTACTAATCCAACATGCAGGCATCATTTAACATGATGTTGTCTATTCTCATAACGTAATCTTAATCGTTTGTAAATTTTCCGGCAATTCTATTGGTCGATAAACAAGCGATCATGTGATCATGTGAAATTGCCTCTCAGTATTCTCATCTTTTCTGCTCTTCTTGTTTCCCATGGCAACTGATGTTCGGATTACACGGAAAAGGCCGAGTCTAATCCGAGTTAAACATTGGAGATGGTGGACAGGCGATATGGCCGATAAAGGAGCCCGTACTAGCGTTTTGTGTTTGTATTGTGCTTAGTTATTCCCATATCCGGAGAGATATTGACAGATAAATGGAGAAATGAATGCGGGGGTACGGGGAGGAAGTCATCACCTCCCGCCGATCCTACATGGAAAAGTATTCGGGTTTTGAATGACGTCACCGCTTGGCAGGAAGAACAATCATGGTTGGGAAAACTGGATGAAAAAGTGAGTGACCCACAGCCGACTGTGTCCGTGGGCCGATGTGCTCAGAAACCACCAAAGATTTTCTAGATTTCCTTCTGTCGGTCAACGCCTTGTAGAAATTATTTATAAATATGGCTGCTAATATGTATAGAGTTGGAGGTAGGATTTATTTCAGTTGTTTTTAAAAAGAGGAAAATTTGTTAAGCATAATTATTTAATTTCCCGCTGCATTCGCCGTACTGCCGGAGTGCAAGTATCAGCTATCGTTTTAACTGATCCATCCACGCTCAATCGATCAGCGGAGAGAACTCGTTAATCGCTGCGTCTGTGGCTTGGGTTTTCCGTAAAAAATTATGGAAATTTATATGAAAAAAATGATGTTTTAACATATAAAATACGTTTCACTTTATACTCACTGATATTCACAAATAATGTATTAATTAAATTCATATGGATTTTTACCACAATTATGTCATAATAAAGATATGCATTCCTAAATTTATCCACCTAATTTCCTAACGGATCGATGTGAATTTGTTTCACACATGGCCTAGGCCTCCGCTAGGCCTAGCCAATTGATTCGTGAATGAATTAGATATTTGCATCTACCCATGTAAATGTTATCATTGCATAAAGGATGCATTACCACATTCGTTATTATTTCTGGTATATAAAATGTTAGTTATTGTAGGTATAAGTAAAGATTTTTCCACGAATAAAGAGAGCTAGGGATCATCACGAATCAATGTTGTCTCGCGGCGTATTTCATCATATAAAACAGGGATTTTCTTTGTTCTCTATGCAGGCGAAGCAAAGGGCATAGGGCTTAGCATTCATTAAATTTACAAATATTTGTATCATTTAGCTCAGAATTGTGCAGGATAAATTTTAAGAATATGTTTCAATATTGCAGATTATGTATATTTTGAAACTTCATCTTCACAACCATACCTTATACGGAGAATAGAGGAATTAAATAAGGTAAGAAGAATCAATCAACTTTAATTATTCTGGTGTAGCTTTATTAGGCCTAGTGTGTGTATCAAAGTATAATAAACTTGCATTCAATGCCTAAAAAACCAGTTGGTTATCTAGGCCTCAATTATGACCTAAATTTTACTATATATGTTTATTTTTATTTAGTTACTCACCGTACATGCTTTTTTATTTAAATTTAGACAGCAAATGGAAATGTTGAAGCTAAAGTTGTTTGCTTTTATCGTCGAAGGGATATACCAAGCTCTCTCATTCAACTAGCAGATAAGCATGCAAGTAAGTGCAATTTAAGTCATATTTTTTTCTATGTTACTTTTGTTTAAAAAATTATTCTAATTCTACATTTTGTTTTGTAATTAAAAATTTCAGTATCTTGACTAAAACTTTTTTGATTGGTCGCTATCGGACAAGCTTTATTACATCATCATGTTCAATGCCTATTGGCTGGTTTTTTTGAACATCACTTTTACCATATTTATAATTTATTATTGTGGTGTTTAATTAATTATGTTTGATGTTGAAATTCATTTGTTCATTACAAAATTTGGTTTATATACCACCTCATACAACCCTGTCGAGATTCTAATAAAAAACAAAAAGAAAAAAAAATAATGATAATAAAATAGCAACAAAATAATTAAAAATAAAAAGAAAATAACCATTGAGAACAGTAAAGAAAAGCACACATTCCTTGATAGTTTATTCCATATTAATATCATGCATTTTGAATGAGATAATGTATGACCTTTAACCTAGCACCATTCCATATTGTTTTGCACTGTAGATGGTGCATTGTGGCCTATCAAGTATTGTAAGAGGGTATGGTTCAATGTCTATTAAGAGTAATCTATACCAAATTGATTAGAAATTGAACTTTTTTTTTAATTTTGCCATAATGGTTTGCTAATCATCCAAAAGATACTGGCTCCAAACATTGAGATTTTTTGAGAAATGCTACTGTAGGCCTAGGCCCCTGCATATCTACGACCTGTTTAGGTGTGCACTGATTTTGAGACTAGCTAAGGTTTACAAAAGATCGCATAATCCAAAGCATACAAAGCACAGATAAGGTTAGAATAATTTTGAACAATCTTAATGCCTTTCCTTGCCAGTTATTTCTCACATTAATAGTGAGCAGTTGTTTTCAAAATCATAACATTACCTTTTCCTATACTTTCACACTGATGTCACATGACTGGCTATAAACAAACCTTGCAGAATAGGTCTATTCTTAATTATTTACAGTCTCTAACCAATCTTTATGGATTCATACAGTTACTGTACTACTTGATCACATTTAAAAAAAACCTCATTAGTACAAGTAGAAACTCCCTGTGGACTATCCCAACTTCCTTAGTACAGTAGATGTTGATTCAAACCGACCACAGGAAAGACACTATAGAACAGGAACTAAGTTATAAATGTCTATATCCGATTTTACATTATAAAAGAGATGGATATTTTGAATTCCAATCATAAATTTTTTTTCTGTCACAGTACACCTTACAGTTACTTTGTGAAGAAACACTTGTGATTCTATTCCAATTAATAGATTATTATTTCACCTCTATTAAATGGTAAAGGTGGGCATAATCAAAGATTTTTGTCTGTCATACTTAACAGATATTGATAGTGCTCAGTAGTGTACTTTATTTTTGCTGAGACACTGATCATTCATTTGTCCATCTCTGTTGGCAGTTTGCATAATTTTATTTTTTATAAGACAAAGTCTTCTTTAAGTCTGACAGATACAAATCTGAGGTAGTGTGTGTTTGGGTTGAGACTCACTAATACTTACACATACACAGTGAATTTCATAATGTTTGACCACCTTCGATATTTAAAGCTCTGTCCAGATTATCAAATTTCCTTTTCTGTTGTATGCCCATATATGGTCATGATGTGCATACATGATCATCTTGATATGATGTCACGATGACCATATTTAGGTATGTCACATGCTTTTGTCTACTAAATTTGATAGACTGGACAAAGCTTAATAGGTCTCGTCAAACAAATATTCGCAATACTGCACTAACTAAATTATTCATTTCTACTACCAGGCCTATCAGTAGGTATTCTATTAGCATAGTATATTTGCTAGATTATTAACAGCCCCCCCCCCCTCCTTTAAACTTGGAGAGTTTACTATGCATGTTTTTGTTTCACTAGTGGCTATTGAAGAAGAGATGGAAGAGGCGTTAGAGGAATTAGCAGAGAAAGACCGCCACCAACTCAAGCATCGGGAATTGTTCCTGTCCCGCCAATTGGAAACACTTCCAGCCACCCACATCCGAGGGAAATGCACAGTCACATTACTGAATGAAACAGAATCATTACTGTCATACCTCAATAAAGATGTAAGTAGAAATAACATACATTTGTCATTGGTTCATGTTGTGGAGAAGCCGTGTGGGCAGTGGGAACTGGTTGGTTTTCCAACCATGAGGTCGGGTTTCAATCATTTTCTATGCATTTTACCTGTGTCCTTGACCAAGGCACTTTATCTACATTACTTTAGTCTAATTGGCGGTATCAGTGGGTGCCAGTAATTTGCTAGGAGTAGTGTGATGGACTGGTATCCCATCCAGGGGTACCACACCCTCATCTGATTTATGCTACAGAAACTGGGAATAAGTTCCAGCCTTACGAGCCTGAGCTTTAAAAATCCTCAAAATATTCCAGTTGATAATTTCTTTACTTGTAACTTGTTTATACACTGGTTCATACAGTAGTTTCACATGTGCATAAATAATTTCATTCCTTTTAAGCATAATGGTTCATTGTATTTCATATCATCATGCAATGTCTTTTTTTCTTCTCCAGGATGCTTATTTCTATTCTTTAGTATATGACCCACAACAGAAAACCTTGCTTGCTGACAAAGGAGAAATACGAGTGGGTTCCCGTTATCAGGCAGATATAACGCCAAAACTTAAAGAAGGTAATGTTATCAAGTAATTTCTAATCAAGCATTTTATTTAGGAATCAATTATCACTTCATGAGGACACAAGTGTCTAATATTTGACTTTCTGAAGTATTCTTTGAAATTAACATTTTAATGTGAGGCTAGTGTGCCTTATACATCTCCCCAAGTAAAAATTGATCTCTGAGCAATAATAGAACTTCCCTGAGTAATAATGTAACCTTCGTGAGAGTAATCGATCAAACATTGAAATTTGTTGTGCTCAAATGTCAAAAGTAGAAACATAATTGAGCAAAAAAAACAACTATACTGAACAAAATCCATCTGGGTACTAATGCTCATCAGTCAATTAACAGCCAACCATACATGGTTTAAGGAGTAGGAATATTATTTGGCTAGATTGAAGATTGTTTCTTGCTTATTTTTTTTATATATTTATTTGTTTTATATAATAATGATATTAGATGCATAGAGATACGAAATATTCAAATATTGCTTAGAACGGTTAATTTTGTTTTTAATCCAGGAAAACATGTACTTGTGTGATTAATTAAACAAATCATGATTGAAAGATGTTAGCCTTCTAAATGTAGCATTTTTTGTTTTAAAATGTTGTTACTTTCTATATTGAGCAATAACAATTATAGTAATTGCTATCATGGTTTTGTTTTTTTAGGAGAATCCGATAACAGAGACCTGAGTAAACTAGAGTCTAGGATTTGGAATAATGATAATGGACTGACAGAGAAGCAGATTGACCAGTTTCTAGTAGTAGCCAGGTAAAAGTTCATCACAGTTTTCCCACTTAACATTGTCATGACAATCCTTTTGAACCATACCACATCTTTTCTCTTATTTATAGGTGCTGTCATTTATGATGTCATTGTAAAAGTACATTTCAAATTTCAGATGTTTATCTGACAGATTTTTGTCAGACAAGTATAGCTTAGTGAACTAATGTAAAACAAACACAGAAGGATGAATACTTATATTGTGAACCAATATTATTCTGTGTTTGGCTTTTTGTTAGCATTTTCAGAACAATATGGCACTTGGTGTTATAATTGCCTGTCTATAATTGTAGGTCTGTAGGTACGTTTGCCAGAGCACTAGACTGTAGCAGTTCTGTAAGGCAGCCCAGCTTACATATGAGTGCTGCTGCAGCCTCCAGAGATATCACATTGGTGAGTTCAACACTTATCATTGTAAACATTTTTTTCCTACATCCTGCATGAATTGTATAATTATGGCATTAATATTTTTTTCATTCCCAAAAAAAAAAGGTACTTAAATATTATATAATTAATTTTTAAGGCCAATATGTTGTGTTGTATTTATTTCAGTTTCATGCGATGGATGCATTGCATAAGAACAACTATGATATAGCAAAGGCAGTGTCTACATTGGTGCCGTCAGCTGGACCTGTGTTGTGTCGGGATCAAATGGAGGAGTGGTCGGCATCAGAGGCTAACATGTTTGAGGAAGCGTTGGAAAAGTATGGCAAGGATTTCAACGATATCAGACAAGACTTTGTAAGAATCACTTCCTCTTCATTTTCCTAGCTGATGTGAAGCATTTGATTCTATTTTTAAGACTCCTCCTGAGTCATTTTCTGGTTGTGATCGGTGTTATATATATATATTAAAATATATCTTTTTATTTTGGCACTATTTAGTAATTTAATGTATCCGGCTTGAAAAGGCGCAAACACTAAATGTGTGGCAATTATATGGCATTGTTTTTGTCATAGATCAGGAAAATTATCCATTACCTCATTACTTGTTATTGTCTTTGACATTCCATTTTAGCTTCCATGGAAATCTTTGAAGAGTGTTATAGAGTATTACTACATGTGGAAGACGACTGACAGATATGTACAACAGAAGCGACTGAAAGCTGCTGAAGCGGAAAGCAAATTAAAACAAGTCTATATACCTAATTAGTAAGTGTACAGATTAATTTTATTATAATAAAATAATGCATTTATAAGTGCTGTCTGCTCTTATGATCAATCATTGCAAATACATATGTAGTAGATTTTCCAAGATTCTTGTATGACAGGTTTTTGTTTGGCAGACTTGATCAATTATAGCAATAGCTATAATTATATTGCTTTATTATAATGTGTGGAGACATTGAATAGGGTAGGTTGGCAACTTGCATATGGGTGGGGTGAAAGGTAAAGCATATAGTTTGAATGGCGACATTGACAGGGTGGCAACATGCATTGGGATAAAATAGGGAAAAAAAAGTAAGTTGTGGTTGCCGTGCATTGAGGAGAAGTAAGGTTGGGTTGACAACATTGTAGGATGTTGTGGCATTGTGATGCCCATGGCAATGATTTAACAACATACATGAGGGTGGGGTGGCAACAATCATTGGTGAGTGTGCAACCAGAATCAAAATATATCATGGTCTCCCATGCAGTGTATTATTTGATATCACATTTACTTTTCTATTTTTAGCAACAAGCCCAACCCTAACCAGATCCTAAATAAACCAGGCCTTCCTCATGATGCTCAAGGCCAGCTTCCCCCTGGAGCAAGAGCCTGTGAGAGCTGTTATAGTAAGTATTGCTTTTAATAACTTCAAATAATAACTATATTACATGACAGAATTATGACATTGACGTTGATGGAGTGTGCCATTTTCCTTCACCTATTGTTGTTATTAAGTTTGAAATAAATTTATTTAATCTTACCTCTACGTTACTTGGATGGTCTTTGAAAATATTATTTCTCTTAACCTCTAGCCCAGTCATCGTACCAATGGTATTCATGGGGTCCTGCCAACATGCAGTGCCGCCTTTGTGCTTCATGCTGGACATACTGGAAGAAATGTGGAGGCCTAAAGATGCCCACCAGACTAGGTAAGCTACTTTATAAGTTATGTAAGTTTGCATGCTGCATGAGAAAATTCTGAAAAAAAAAGACATTAATTTGATCAAATGTATATATAAAATATCTTTTAATCATTTCTTTTAATTTGAAATATATTTTTCAACGATATGCTTACTTGACCACAGACTTGAGTAGTCATAATGTGCAATTATCTAAGCTTTCTATTGATGTTAAACATGTAAAAAGTATATAGATTCCCTTATAAAATTTCCAGCCTAGTTCACATCTGCTTGTGTATATCCCTGTATTACTATTAGTTGTAATGCAAGTCTATAAATAGCTGTGTACTATTACTTGATTCTAAATACCAAAATTAAAATTGTAGAAAATTTTCCTTCCATTAATTTCCCAATATAACGTGATGTAAAATTATTTTTGTACAATTGCATGTAAGACTGGAATTCCAACTATAATCACTTATATTTTTATATACTTATATTTATCTTATTCAATATTTGTTTTGAGAATATTTTAATGGAATTGAATGTAAATTGATTGTGAAGTGTTGTTGTTTCTATGCTTGCTTTTATACTTTATAAATTTCTCAGTAATTTCATGTTTCTTCACTTTTTTTTACATATTTTGCTATTGTTTTCAAAGAAATACTTGGCATGTTCATCTTTTAATCTATGGAAAGTTCTGTTCTTTTTCATATTGTTAGGGGCTATTGTTACACCAGTCTGAAACCAATTCTTAGTTATAATTTGATGTTATTGTCATTTAAACCAATCCATATATAACATACAATCAGAGTTATGTTCAAGACTGGTGTAACAATAGTCACTGCATTTCATGTTTTGCTTCGTATGTTCTTCACCTTGCATTCTTCATCTCATCTATTCAGTTCAAGAACGATTGGATTGGAGCTTGTTTGTCTAGTTATCCGTAGTTACTCGAGTATTATGCTCATACAGATGACATATACCCATTATCTTATACAAATTGACCAAAAAATGACATTCTTCCTACCTACCAGTTCACACTAACATTTATTTTTTGTGCGGTCGCAATGGAAAATGGCAGATGCTATTGATTAATGCTTCGCAAAGTTTTTTAAAGGCTACAGCCACGCGGATTTTACTTGAAATCAGGTCCAGTTGAAGTTCACGAAGAAGAAGCCAGGGCGTGCGCTTAAACTCGGGTAAGCAGTCCAACTCGGGTAGAAGCGCACCCCCTTGTCTTTGGGCCCATACGGGAGCCGACGGGGGTGCGCCAATACTCGAGTAGCTACGGTAGTGCTAGAAGCAGTAGCCGGCTTCTTTGCTATTCGTTATTTGCATGATCTTGAAAGGTTTGAGAGTTTTCTTCATAGGACTGCACTTTTTAAACAATATTTTGCTGTGCAAAAACATTTTCCATTCAGCTTCCATTAAGCTTTTTATATATTTTAATCATTTTTTACATTTGCTCAGCATTGATTAATTTTAAATTAACTGACATCAAAATACCAGCTAATAGGAAATGTTTTTGCTTTTACTTATCTTTAAGAGCATATTTTCATTAAATACAAAATTTAGATGTTCAACTAGAAAAGCAATCTAATAGTTAAAAGATAAGTTAATATCATCAAATATTTTAGTATTTTATTCTAACGTAGACAAAAAATTGTCTTAGGTGAATAACTTTGCACAAAGCATTTAGAAAATAACTTATATTTAATTTGAGCATTGAGACTAAATTTCTCGTAGAACAAATATTGCTTTTAGGCAGTGGTAAGTACTAATAATGCAAATGGTAAATTCCTCTATTAAATTTATCATTTTGCTTCGTACATGATAATTTATAAATTGTTACTACCAACGTAAAGAAATTAAAGTAAGTTGTAGGGAGATAAAAAGGTAGAACTCTAAACCCAGAAAAGGAATTTCTTGCTCTTGTGGGTAAAGTTTATTTTGAAAAGATAGGCTAGAGTTTTAAGTCAGTCAGAAGTGCATGCAACAAGTAAAAAAGCAGGTAGGCATTGCGTCCCTGTTGATGTGTGTCCTATGTTTGATGTGTTTCTTTCTGTTTCTCTCAACCTTGGGTTGACTATATACATCAGATGATGTGTCATCCAATATATCCTCATCAATAGATGGCGAACGGCCGGCTATGCTACGTCCACGTCAAGATGGATTAGAACGAGTTGCTGGTGGAATGCACCGTGTTTTTCATTGCACCATAGCTGGCTGTGGACAGGTAAATACAATGCTTTGCTACTCATTTGTGGTTCACTTTTATTACAGATTAAATATTGACAAAGTGGTATATTATAAATGCAAGGACCTTGTAAAAGAAAACACATGTTAATCCAGTAAAAAATTGTTTTTTGAAATGAACATGAATTGTTTTTAACCTGCTACAATTTTCCTTTAGGAATTCAAGTTGAAATCACATTTAGCCCGCCACTGTCAAACAGTACATGGGCTGACTATACGAACGAGTGCAATACGTGCTTCTGGTGTCAAAACAAGGCAAGCATTTTTCCTAAGCACGACGCCTCTGACCAAATTGTCGCGACGAATTTGCCGCAAGATACTAAATATACACCATGCTGCACGTAACCCGTTTAATCCTGTAAATAGTTCCGGCATAAAAGCCGAATGTAAGTACCTAGATACATGTGTCTATATAAAGTTGCAAGAATGCGGGAGCGCTAACTACGCAAAACGGTAATTGTCGTCTCAGTGCCACCACAGCAGGATTTGTTGAAACCTGCGTCTATTTGCGGTTTTGCTGCATCTTCAAAATTTGCCTACCTAACATTTTCTGGATAAGCTTCATGGTACAGTGTTGTACGCAATGCATTCAAAATTTCTTTAAGTATTTTGTTTCAAATATTGATCTACTTGCATCCGAATTTTGAAATTAGATGTTGAACATTCAAATGTTTGCTGTAGTAAAATTGTATGAATTTGAAATACTGCAGAAATGAATACTATTGGAAGAAATTACAAATTAATTTGAAACCATAATTAATTTTACACGTTTGATAATATTCATATAAGTTCTCGTAATCCCGAAAGCTCCAATGAGGGCAGTATAATAGAGACAGTAGAGCTAAAAAAGATCTATCAATCAATCAGCTATTACTCAATCAGCTGCGTGTTTTTAGGGCTCCTCATGAGGGCAGTATAATAGAGGCAGTAGAGCTAAAAAAGATCTATCAATCAATCAGCTATTACTCAATCAGCCGAGTGTTTTTAGGGCTCCTCATGAGGGCAGTATAATAGAGGCAGTAGAGCTAAAAAAGGTCTATTAATCAACTATTAATCAATCAGCCTCATAAGGGTAGTAAAATAGAAGCAGTAGAGCTATAAAAGATTTATTAATCAGCTGAGTGTTTCTAGAGCTCCTCATCGGAGCTAAAAATTAAGATATCTTATGTAACTGCAAATATTTGTCATTCCTACCAGGTCAATCCATTCCAACAGAAGAGCTCAAAAAATATATGCATTATAAAATCAGAGTTCGGCCAAAGCTGGAGATGGTTGTATCAAAAATAGGGGTGGAGATGCTCGCTCAGAAGTCACAAACCACAACCAGACCAATGTACAACCCAATCGAGCCCCCGAAAATGTCATTCCCTCCTCCGCTCACATCTCACCAATCACGTAAGCTAATTTTTCTAAGTAGATTTCTTGCTGATTAGGAGTAAGTAAGAACTAATGTTCTGAAGCAATATAATTTTTAAAGACTACTGTGTTTGTTTAGTGAGAATTAATTATAGTATTTGGCTTTTCTTGTTTTGCTACAGTGGAAAAGCCAGTTTTTGGTCCATTACTATACACAGATTTTCTATGTTGTACTTTGATCACTTTCATAGCAAATCTAGTTTCATAATAACTTACTCCTAATCATCTATTTAAAAATAAAAAGAAAATAGTTGATACTACTTTTATTTTTGCTGTTCTTGCTACTGATGCTATAGCTGTTGCCTGTATTATTGCTGTCGTTGCTACCATTGGTACTGCTGTTGATGTATTTTAATTCTTGAAGCCATAATACTTTTGTTGTAAATATTATATGAATACTTAAATAGTTTTAACATTCATTTTGTAAAAATTATTATGTTGTCATAATATTCTTGAAATTGTTTTTATTTTACTTTTATGGCACGGTCATTGTATTATGATTGTTGTTATCATAATCACTATTAATAATGAATATTTTTTATGAATTTTTATTATATTAACAGGTTTTAATGATTCTAATATTACAATTTTATTTTTTTGTTAGTTTTCATTAGTCATTGCTATCAAAGTACATATAAACTGTCACTTAATTTATTGATTATCTGTATAATTTAATTGAATTTACTATGATTTTTATATAAATAATATCAATTGATCTTATTATTGGATTTATCATTCAGCTCGCAAGACAAATTATACTACCTATACAACAGAATCGAGAAGTGTCGCCCGTACTGTGCTGCAACCAGTTAAAAGAGCTTATCCCGATGCTCAAAATGGTGTAGCTGGTAAGCCAAACAAATTTCCATCGATGTAAATAAAACGAACGTCTGCTCCAGTCAGTTCTCTTATTATTCCTTTTATAATTTCTTTTATGTTTAAATTGATAAAGATGTTTTTATCTAGTGTATTAAATCTGTTTTTTTCACATTAAAAACCTTCCTTTTCAATGGTTTGTTATTACATTTGCTTTTTTAATTTTAATCCGTACTGCGTAATAAATGTATGTAACATTTAATGATGAATTAATTTTATAGTCTACATTTTTAGATCAAGTTTTTTCTGCACAATTTTCATGGTTTGAGAATTTCGCATTTCACTGCCTTTGAAAATGATACCATTTTTGTAAACCCAGTTTCTGACATCTATCTCATAGCTTACTTTAACCTCTGTCTACACTAGTAAATTTGACAAATGACAATGAGTTGCCCATATTTGGGTATGATATGACATCATCATGCCCATATATGACCACAAACATATAGTGTGGACAGAGTGTTAGCTTCCGTTGATTGCTGCTTTACATGTAACCTATAATTATTTATTATAAATGACATAATGTAATACATAACATTAACCAGGAATAATCATGTAATTGATTTTATTATGATGTTTGTTTTATTTAGACTAAAGAAAGGGAATTGAAATTAACATTTAAGTCATTTTTCATAACGGTCGTAGAATTGATGGCTCATACACAGGTGCATAAAAAAGGAAATTAACTAAAAATATAAATAATTGACCTAAAAATTAGTATAAAAATACACATACAATTGTCTATGTATTATGAAGGCCATTTTTTTTCATATTTTCACTTTATTTTTCTTCCTGACTTCAAAGACTTGGGGCATGTTTCCAAAAAATATAATTAGATTTATATATATTACCCAGTATCTCTTGATGATTTTTATGTAGTAGTATCCATTGACACTATAACACATAGGCAAGGCTATTTTAATACCTTGTTAAGCAAACTTTTTTTTTTAATTGTCGGAGGAGGGTGGAAAAAAATAAAACTTGATTTTCTTATAGTAAATGATTTTGCCAAAACATTCAGGTTGAGAAAAAAAAAATAATTGATGAATAAAACAGTGTAATATATGAGATTGATAATGCTTTAAATTTATATAATTAAGCAAGAAATATATGTCTTAATTTTGGAAAATTTTGTGCTAGCTGACAAAAAATATATATTTTTTATTCGAAATCACTATTATTTGTGGTCGGATGGTTTGCTAATCAAGGTATTAAAAAAGTGTTTCCTTATGTACAAAGGTTGATGGTAAAGTACCGAATTAGATACCACCTTTTATCACAAAAGTTGGCCAGTGGAGGGTAAAATGTAAAATGTTTGTATGCAAGGAATATTTTGCCTCAAATTGATAAAGCACAGCACACACTGCCTTGGATGACTTTAGCGACAAATCCCACCACATTTTGTGTTAGCGCTTGTTATCTGAGCAGATTGAAAATGATGTATGTAGTGCATAGGTCTTTGCAACATTAATGAAATCAATTCCGTTGACGCAGTGTGCCTTGCATAGGATTTAGAGGGTTGTGACTTAATAGGCAAGTTGAAAATTTATTGATAGGTTGTGCTTAACCTTAAAGGTGGACTTGTAGCCATAAAAGCACTGTGCTTTCCTATCTCATCAAGAGATCTCTAGCTGTTTGAGCTATTTAAATTGGCTTATGATATTACTGTATATGTAAATTTATTTTAATTAAAATGTGAAGCAATGCTGGAAAAATGAACTTGGAAATATCCTTTAAGAGGTAAGATATAGTTTATTTTTGAATTTTTGTCTTTAAATTCTTTTACTAGCAGCATAACTATTCGGTACATATTTTTTAGAGACTTGGGAAAAACAAAATCTGATTGACCTCCTAAAAATTTAAGCAATTAGTGATTTTATTTTATTTTTTTTCAGGTCAGAAACTTCATACTAAACTGTCGAGAAAGAATCATGCAGATTTTTGATCGCAATTCTCTAAACTGATAATCTAGATTAACTGAAATATAGAATATTATGTATCAATGCATTTTTCCCAGATACCCCCTTTGATATTTACCACTATATATTTCGACAAATGCTACAGAATTTCTAAAAAGCTAGTTTTTAAAGATAAACTTAGCTAAGTTAGATAATAAATCTTGTAAAATGTAATTAAATATTTGAGTTGCTTAATTTGTATAAGGAAGTAATTAGTTTTTATTCGAGAATTAGAATGGAAAGTTTTTCTTGCCAATTAATGAATGCATAAATAATAACACATTTTAAAATATACTGCCACTTAACACTAATATACAGTAAACTTAAATTTCTTAATCTGTATATTCAAATAAATTATCAAGTTTCAATCAAACATTCCAAATATGGAATGATACCATTCCTACAGTCTTCTGTATTATATTTCTGCCACCAAATTTAAGGATTTTTTGTTTATTAGGTAGCAGTATGTCAAGGAATTGCAAATCAGCAAAAATTGATGAAGACCCTTTGTAGTCTTAACTGTGCATGACTATATTGATTGACTGACAGATCGATTGTCACAAATCATCTGCATATCACTAATACTTTATATTTCTCTAGATCAGTTGCTAATATTCCCGGTGTATAGGTGCGGAATATTGCAACCAATTTCAAAATATAACTACTATTCAGATCCTATGTTGTATATGACCTTTGACTTTGACATGCGCTGTTGAAACTACAAAGTGGCTTATTGGTGTCATTGGAAGTTGGTCCTTTCATAATAAAAATAATTTTGATTAGTTGTTTGGAGAATTTTCACAGATTTTAATGCTGACAGTACATTTTTAGGGTACTTTGTTCTTTTTCCATATTTATGTTTAGTGTAATCAAGTACCATTCTTTTAATCTCCATGATCTGATGAAATAACAAGCAATTAGAATAGTTGTGTATTATACACTAGTGGATATTTATTATACAAAGGTTAGATTAAACTGCACTAATGACAAATTAGTGCGCTGTTGATAACATTGAGATTTACAGTGATAATGTCACGATTGACTTATAATTGTATATACTGTAGAATATTGTTTGTGTGTAACTAACTGTAAATTGCTAGATTTTACAGTTTTTCGTGATTATACTTTATAACTGAAGCTAAAATACTTTTGAAGTTTTATTGTCAGTAAAATTAAACCTTGTTTGTAAGCAATACAGAGATTTTTGGTCTTATTATTTCATGTCAAGTGTCTAACTATAAGCTTTTTACTCGAGAGTGCTGATTTGATTTTGTCTTCTGCCATTTTCCATTGTCACTACTGTTGGTAAGCAGTACACTACTTTTCTTTATAACTTCTTCAAACGTTATTCTCATGAAAACATGTTTCAAATAAAAAGTCGTCCTATCCCAGTTCTAGATAGTGGCAATAATGTGGGATCAAAACATAGATAGTTATTGTAACCATGTAGCAGGGATGTATTATACCAGTATTTTAATCCCACAATGCCTGCCATTTAATGATGTAAGAGCATGCCTGTTTGAGCTTCCATCTCATCAGTTGCAATATCAATTCTTTATACTATTCATCTTTGTTAATTCATCATTTTGCTTATCAAAAAAATGACTATTTCCGCAGTTTGTAGTGTATGCCAACAAATCTGCTCACTGAAAATGACTACACAGACAAATGCCAGATCAGGCTTTTCTGATAGTTTGTTCTGATCAAACAGATAATGTCTGTCCATCTGTATGAAGTTAAACCCTGTCATATTTCACAAAAAAATGTGACATGTCTAAATATAGTCATGGTGACATCCCATCATGACCATATATTATGACTATATGGGCATACAACAGTTTTTTGTCAACAAAATTTGATTATCTGGACAAACTGTAGCTTTTGACAATGTGCTGTTCAAATTTTGAACAAAAAAATTGTAAAATGTGTGTGATTTGCACATATATGGGCATGTTGATATATTACACCCATATATGGGAATGGTACAGTATATGTCATATCCATATATAGGCATGGTGATTTCATATCACACCCATATATGGCACATCACAGTATTTGTCAAATCATGTGTTTGTCTATGTTTATTGGAATCCTGACAATGTTCTACCAAGTGTCATCCAATATTGCTGAACCTGACTGACATATATCTGATCTTATATTAATAAATTATTCTTAGATATATTACTGTGCTCATAAAAATGCTAAAATTCTCAACACTGTTTGTTTTTGGAATACTAATAATTTATCCTTGTCTTTGTAGAGAATCCTGTCTTTCTGAAACTAATAGAAACTAACCCCAGATTTTTGAATAATTTTAAAATAAAGTGACTTATTTCTTTAAATTTCTCAACTGTTTTACACAACAGTAGTATTTCAATTGTGTTTGAATTGGTGTTTTTAGTATATGTTGTTTTGGAGAAAATATTTGTACTTGGAAGTTAAGACTAAAATATGTAATTTTTGTGCAATATTCAATGTACTGTTTTTTCTAGGCCCTCCAACCAAGAGACCATACATTGGAGGTTCAGTGGGCAGAGGTGAGTCATTTTGCTGTTGTTTTATTTTTGTTCCAACTTTTTCTTTTTTTCTTTTTTATTTATTTTTTAGTTAACTGCATAAATCCGAGTGGGATCCAACAGTTTTTACATTGAATTTGACACTTGGAGCTATGAATGTTTATATACTGTATATAGATATTATAGATATAATTTCTCATTGTATAGATTGCAATGATTATTAATGTTTTAATATCGACAGATTGATTCCTGACATCGTTAATGAGGAGCTGATAACTAATAATCAAGTATATTTTATTTATTTATTTATTTTTAAAAAACAGCATGTAAATATTGCAGCAATTGTATTACTATTATAAGTAAGTTGATTTCTGGGAGCCAGTGTGTTTCAGAGGTTTCAGTTGAATTCAGATTTGATTGTCCAAAAATATTGCATTTAACAATTGCACCGACAAAATAAGTTATAAATTATTGTATAAAAAGATGTAGGTAAGGTCAGGCTTTGAATTTCGTGCTTTATATAGGCCTACGGTACATTTAAATGCTACCAATAATAATAATGCTATTTTTATTGTAATTATGTTATATTTATTATTTTCATAATTATTTAATATGTTCTTTACGCTTGCTTTGTAAATGATTAGAATTACCGTGATACCCCTCAAACTTTCTCAGAGTTTCCTATAGCATTAGATTAGGCATACCAACGAATATGCTTTCCCACTATGAAAACTAGACTAGATTTTGATAAAACAGGTGTAACTTTACCTGTGCTGTACTTAGTCCTACATGTGGAGGAAACTCTTGTGTACTTTATCTCTATCGTACACTGCCGGTACTAAAGTTTCAAAACATGATCAGTTCCTGTAGATTACACTTACAATCAATACTAGCCATTTGCAGCTATAGTACAGTATTTATAAATCATAGGCCAAATCTATCACTTTAATAGAACTTGCTTGGAAGTAGAAGTATTGTACTAATAATAAGGTAAGTTTAATCTGACAGTTGTCCAGGCAGCTTGACATGCGACGATAATGAGATCAAAATATTTTAACCTTGTTTTGTTACTGGTTTAAACAAAATGTTTTTAGTCATCATCGTTTATATTTTGTCTTCCCGAGTATCAGAATTGTTGGTAACCTGAAGTCATGTACTAGTGTAGTGATAGTGGGGAGCAGTAGCCATTTTTTTTTTTTTTTGCCATCCTTCCCCTGTAATTGCATTTATTGATACTGTTAATGCTGCAAATTATTACTTTGATGTTTTTTTTTTTTTTATTATTGATATCATTGAGACAGTATAATTTTGGTTAAAATTAAATCATTAATATTTTTATATTTCAGAATCTGGTAGAAAAGCAGATGTAAGTGTTTCAGTAATTGTCTTATTAAACAAATTTTATTTTAATTTTCCAATTTCATTTGTGTACCCATAAGTACCCATTTTATTTCATTAGAACTTAATATTTTTTGTATACTTTTATGTTTATTTATACATGAGTTTGTTAATTATACCAAATTATCTTACTAAAATATGTTGATAGCACACATTATTGTTAGGTCATACTATCATATAAAATAACAAAATATATATTATTCTTAAAATATTTATTGAAGCAGTTGGGGGACTGTCTGCAAATCAGTGGGATCGGACGCATTCCATGGATCAAGCAAAAATCTCGAGAAAACTAAAGCGTCTCCCAAAAATTCAATGTTTTTACTACTGTTTTTAACTACTGTATTATCAGCAAATTATAATTAGATGAGGTCATTTATTCTGGAAGGAATATAATAAATATCCTTTAATCAGTTCTCCTGGAAATGGCTTAATCCAACTTAAGACTCCTGCTACGTTACACCAGTATATTGAACTTCTTTGCATGTCAATTTGTATTTGTATACAAATTATAATGTTAAGATTGAAAAGAAAAGACAAAAATGTTAAGTGTGAATGATCTAGTACATTATTGTAAATACTGTATGTATGTTTTGTTTTTGGTAGATGGGATCCGAAGCTAAGAAGAAGAAGCTAAGCTGGCTTGATGCTCCAGATGATGTATTCTTTCATGCCAATGAAACTACCAAGTATGTCCTATTACATATAACATTGCACCCTCGACATATTTTATAGATTCCCATAGATTTTGGATAGCCATGACATTAGTCTTAAATTATAGCAATAATGATGTGGTAATCAACTGTTCAACCATATTAAATAAAACATGCTTATGCTTGTGCAGTGAACTTCTTCAACATTTCAGCATGTCATCTATTTCAATGTATAACAGAACTCTTGCTAAGTTCCACTCCTTTGATATTAGAGAGTTTTCGCACACGAATGAATACGTGTACGCATACGTTTAGCTATCTGTAACGGTTCGTAGCCATTCTGTGTTTTTCGCAATCGCAGCGCAATTCAAGTGTAGCCTAGGGCCTTAGCTTAGGCCTACTATACTCTCTCATCATGCTGCTCAAAGTGTTATTAATATAAGTAAGGTTTTGGAAATTGAAATGGAAAATTGTAGCAGAAAAATGCTTCCTTTGTTGCACAGAAGTGTTGATTATTTTGTAATAGGCCCTATTGTTTACAACCCAAAAGTGCCTGGCTACAAGTAGGCCAACGCTTACACAAAATCCCGACACCACCAAGGGCAAAGCTGCACTTTCCCCACCTGTGCACTAACCGTATGTGTTGGCGTGCACTAACCGTACGCGTTGGCGTGCACTAACCGTACGCGTTTTGTGGCAAAGGTCCCACAGAACAGCAGCGTAAATGTGCACAAACTCGTTCATTTTGTAGAACAACACATTTGTGAGATAAGCGCATATTCCTATCCCTGTTCTGATTGGTCAGTTGTTAAGTTTGATTGACACATTGCAGTGGCGGATCCAGGAATTTAAAATAGAGGGGGCCTGGGGAGATACTTTCACAGATGGTGGATCTACACCACTTCAGCTCCCATGGTTGGGGGTGAGCTAAGGAAATTTGTGATATGGCACCTCGAGGTGGCTGGAAAATGATATATTTTTCTTTATATCTTCATTTAAAAAAAATTTTGAACAATTTTTGGGGGGAGCTGGATGTTTTCCTCCCTTGCATCCGCCACTGCTTTGCAAGGTCTATTACTTAATTCCCTGCATGAGTTTTAGCTCATGTTTTATTCATTTGCCAGTCTGTCAGGTGCTGTTTACCTCATTAATGTATTTATATTAATTTGATAACTTTAAATGACCAATTCAATATTAAATTTGTAAAATTGTATTGTAGTTTAACACAAATAGCAAATTGCGTAACTTTATGCAGGCCTGGAAAAAAAAAAATGTTTGTGCCTCTTACCATGAAAGTTGTCTCGATAAATTGCCTCCAGCACAAGTCTGTTGTTTTTTTCGAAAATGCCGGGACATTCATGTTCCCTCTGATCGCCAGTTGCGTGGTCGTGTACTTTTTCAACCCCCGACTTTAGGAATGTTTTCAACACAAGCTGTTCTTTTTTACCACAGGCGTTTGAGGCAGCAAGTATCGAATGCGACTCAGAAACGTGCAGCACGCCGCCCGTACAAGCTGATGAAGATAGCTGCCAAATACCAGCCACCTAGAATCGTGTCGTCTGCTTCTACTCCAGCTAACCCTGCTGGCTCCGGTCAGGTTAAGCTTGCATCGTCAGCAGGATCTAAACCTCTGGCTTCAGCTCCTTCGAGCAAATTATTGCCATCTACTCCTGCTAATCCGCTTCCCATAACAGGCGTGAATAAAATGCCGATGACTGGTGTGACTAAACTCGCACCTATGGTTGCAACTGCTCCCGACGGGAATGTGAAATCGGGTGAACCGATAGTTATCGATTAGGAATTTTGGTTGTATATTGACATTGGTTCTTTGCTTTGTGTACGTAGTCAACACAATGCCAGAATAAATGTGTCTATACATGGCTCCAGAGGGGTTATTACTGTAAATTAAGCTCTTTTTCATCAATTTCAAGTGAATACTCATTTGCATTCATATCTTGTGGTTGTAGTCATGAGACCTTTTAAATTAACACATGGCGCAAGACTTAGCAAATCACAAAGAAGTGAGACAATCAATTGAATTAAGATATATTCCTTGTAACTTGCCTGTTTTTAATCTGAATTTAGTCATTATCGCAGAGAAAAATAAATAATTACCTTTAATCACCTTAAACTTTTTTTTTCTCTTGGCGTGAAGAATGACTGCTTTTTGACTGCAATTAATTTTGTAACATAACTGATAATTGAAGCTCTTTAAGCTGATTATCAGATGCTTAATTTAGATTCTGGCTGTTAAAATTCTTATTTATTGATTTACATCAATTGACATTAGCATATAATTTTAGATAAACTGTCTTTTTTGTCTCTTCAATAATCTAGTAATTGACTGTAACTTGTTTTCTTTATTACTCTTTTTATAAATTTTACATGAAGACCAGCCTTTATAAAGATTAACACAATTGTTTTGAAGTAATAGGATTCTCTGATTAATGGAAAATTGTATTAGCTTAGAATATACATAATATTGAGTCAAATATCCATTTAACACTTTCATGTGTGGCGGCATATAGTTAGCAACTGTATCGTGTCATGGCTAATTGCTGTGCACTGCATCTAAACAAGCAGCAGATGTTTTCTATACATAAATGACAGTTTGCACTACAAATCAACAAATCACATGATTGGATTGAACAGGATTTTTTTACATGTGTCATTCACCTTTTGGGTTATATAACAGTTTTTAAAAATGCAAATTACAGTATAAAAATTCACATTTTGTTGGCCATTGTTTTAAATCTATATCAACTATATTTAACTAATGAATCATACAGGGACTGCTGATCAATGGAATCTTCTGGTACTGTAGTCTCTCGTGTAAAAGCCCACTTCATGTAGAAGCACATCCCCTACTTTACGCCAAAATTTATGTATTGGCAGCGTTAGCTTAGCTGATTATTTTAACAAATGCTTGGAAAAAAAAAAATTAATAAAGGCTTTGAATTAGGCAGGTACTGCTGAAAATTGTGTTTTGAAAGGGGGATTTTCCAGATATAAACCCATCTCCCCCCCCCCCCCCCAACCCCCCCCCCCCCACTCAGCATGACTTTGTGTTCAGGGTGGGGGGCTTATACCAGAGGAACTACAGTAATTAGAATTTGTACTCAAGTTGTAGCTTGGTTGTCAAGATGCCTTCCTTCCAGTCCCAGATTTCTGGGTTGAAATTCTATCAAAATGAGGAATTTCTCTTCTGATGAAAAACAGCTCCATTCCCTAAGCCTCATGTAAGAGAATATTGTTTTCCCTGTGTCCATAGCTTGTTACCCACAGTGAAAATAATAAATTAAACTTGTTTTTCAAGGTACAAGAAATTCCCTTTTTTGTTAGGCTTTTTTATATGTACATTTTAATGTTTGGTTTGAATTTGTATTTACCATAGAACCACCTTTGTATATGATACACTATTGAATTTCTCTTGATGCCAAATTGAAGTTTGTGTCTGTTTAAATTGAATCATAATATCTAAAAGATGTTGGAATTTATACTGGTGGAAAGTTCTTCAAAATGTTGTGGCCATGAGATACAGGAACCTCCACAAGTTATAATTATAATCTCTTTGTGCTTCGATTCAATGTACAGTAGTGGACAAGTATTTTCAAATATTAATTCTTTGATGGTACATTGGAGAATTACTAAGATGGTGGCCGTGTCATATAGTGTCAGTCATCATGACTCGTTCTGCTACCTTATTAGAATCCAATTTGCATTTGTTTTTCCATTTTTTTCTTTTTCTATTACAAAATGTAGTTGAATTACTGTAAATACATAAAACCACAAATCCCATGTCATAATGAACAATAAAAGAAATCTTTGTAAAAAATGTTTGTGTACCTTATAAGCATGCTTTTATAAAATCCGGCTTTCCATAGTTACCAACCTGAGAGATTTGAAATGCGTGAGTGACTACACCAGTTGGCTGGGGGTGGGGCCCCTATCAGGGTCCAGGGGCAGAGCCTGGGTGGGGTCCAGATGATCTGAGCATTTTTATACTGTTTTCAGGGTACATAAACCAAGACATTTTTAATAAACCACAATTTGAGTTTCAATGTATGTTTAATTTTAGCACCCGAACTATGTACACAAACATTTCATTAATCAAACAAAAATTAATCATACTGGATAGGCATATTTTTTAGTAACGTGTCAGTCCAATTTTTCTTCTAATTTTAAATACATTTTAACCCTGAATTCTTGATAATTTGTTATCACACATAGACTTAGAAAAATGTGTGTTTCATCCAACATGACTTTAAAATGCAAGACTGTCCCGCATGATGCGTGACGGTTGGTAGCTATGGTTTTTATATGACCGTCTCTGGCGGTGTTTGGTATTTTTAGATTCTGCATGAATTCCTCTTTAAAAAAGTGTTTAGTGGAAATTGGTTGAGTCTTAGTGAAGTTATGAATATTTAGTTCATTGGATACCAGTCATGTAGGTTTAATATTAAACTGAAGGTTTGTATTTTTAAAATAATTTGAATATACTTTTTAGTTAGATTTGGTGATTGATATTTTGGAGAAATGTTCTTCAGTATATCTTTCTTTTATAAATGCAAAAACCAGAAAATGTTCAATATTTTGATTCTCAAATGTTTTGGGTGCTGTGAAATTAGAAATTGCAACAAATGGCAGGTCTTGCCAGAGCGGGTTACATTACATTGGCATGGTTTATCTGCGAGCTGGCATATTTATTTGGAAGCCTACAAACAAATAAAAAAAAAATCAATTTAAATTACTTAGCCACGAACTGGTTGCAAGTTAATGCTGTGATGGAGAAATAGTTACCTACCTCATAAATAATTTCACAAATTTAAAACAGAAAACCCTGAAAGAAATCCACTTTTGTAACCAATTTTAAAAATCCTTTTGAATTTCCATCTCTTGACATTCCAAAATAAAATACGAGATAAATTGGTAGGGGATTTCAAATATACAGTACAAGCATGAGTATAAAACCAACTCAAAATAAGTATCAGTGTACCACTGCCTGGCTTCTGTATATGTGATTATCATTGTAACATGGAATTGTGGTGCCGTGTGCCTTAGATTCTGAACTAACAAGTTATTCTTTATATCAGATTGTTATAAAAATGCATATTGTTAAAACATGATCCTAATCGTAATTTCAAATGTTGAGAGGCCAACATAACCAAGTATAAAATCGTCATCTGAAGACGGGCCCCCCAAGTCTAAAAATATTGGACAGCCCTCCGCACTTGCACAACAAGAATCTTCCGCAAATTCATTAAATCTCTATTTTTTAATGCTGTAATTACCCCTTATAAGTTTGCACGGAAATCTGTGTTGATTGGTATCACCATAGGCAGTGAAACAAAATTAGATGTTAAGAAAGCTAGTTTTAAAGATATGTCCCGGAAATGAGTACATCCATCTTGGGACCCCTGACTGAAGATGTCACAAATACCTGTAAAATGTACCGCTGTCTAGCAACTCTGTATGTGCTTATATTTAGAACCTCATCTCGAGTAAATGTGTGTGCAATGGATTGCGTATGTTCATTGTTTTAATTTACTCCCAGTCCTAACCTAAAATTCTGTGAGGCCAGAAATAAGTTAGAACCCAACATTCATTGTATCACATTTTATTAAATTCCAAATCAATAGTACAGTAGAGTATTACAAAATACAAGTTTCAGCAAATAAATCAACTCCAACATTGTATATAAAATAAACATATATTTACTATGAAGAATTACATCAATTTCACAATTTTAACATCTATTTGGCAGAAGAAAACAAGGATACATGTGTTATCCCAAGCGTTTATACATAGGGCCTAGATTGATAAAAAGACACCTGTAGGTTTATTAACGTCATCATCATATAACAGCCCCAGGGGGCCTATACCTCATTTGACCAAGATGATCATGCTATGAGCAAACATTTTTGAACAGATTAAAAATGGCTGAATTCTCTTCCCTTGGATCCTGTCCCCCTCAGAAATTGTGGGATCCTGTTGGACAGATTTATGCCCCTAGAGCTCTTGTTATAAAACTTAGTTTATAATATTCAACACTACATAGCTGTCATTGGAGAAAACATACACTTACTAAACAACAATAGACAATTTATACACAAGTACCCTTTTATTGAAAAAATCCCCTATCAAAAATGTCCTGAGCTAGGACAGATATTACTTTACTACAAAAATGCCTTGTGACAATATATTGAGATAATAGCCAAAATATGCTACGATCTGAATTTTGACAAAAAAAAAATTATATTTTCTAAAAGTAGTAAAAATTCTAGATTATCTATTTTGTCAAACTTTATATATATACCCCAATATTACTACAAATTAAGTAGCTTATGTCTAAACCATTTTCCCCAAAATTGTTCTCTAACTCAAACCAAGTGTACTAAATAAAGGTGATAATATCACAGTTTTGGTTTGTGTTGTAGCAATGAGGGTGGGAGAGGGGTGGGATAGCAGTGAGTGTGGGAGAGTAGTGGGGTAGGAGAGGGGTAGGGTAGCAATGAGGGTAGGAGAGGGGTTGGGGAAGCAGTGATGGCAAGAGGAGGGTTGGTGTACTAATTTACCATTACCAAGTTATTGTGATAGCAATTTCTAATATAGAGATAGCAGATTTCTGGAGCCACTACTGTGAGCGATTGGATTAAACACCCAACTAAATATGTAGACATTAATACAGGCACAGGCATATTAACATTACTTATTTAAATTCATGATTTACAAAATTCTTCTGTCATAATTTTATCCTGTAAAAAAAATTATCCTCATTAGTGGCCGATAAAAAGCATGTCGCTATGGCTTAGGCAACATCAATTGGCAAAAGGATTTCATAGTACAGTACTGCTTAAGTTAAATCTCACTTTCTTCAGAATAGATTACTAACCGTTGACCAAGACAGATATCATACTGCAAAGAGAAGAAACTTAGTTATTGTATGACTGAATTAGAAAAATAAACTATGTTAATATTGTACATATGATTAATTATATAAGTGTACAGATGAAAGTGAGTTTAGTGGTCGAACGGTTAATAGGCCTACATGGGAACCCAGAGCTTTACACCGGTGCTGGTTTAAGGACATTCTTGGTCATATTTTGGATGGTAGAACCAAACTGAATTCAGCCCTAGACATCTTAACCTTTTATTAAATCAAATCTGCATGCCAGGGGATTGAGTGGGAAAAAAGGAAACCTTGGGCTGGAGGCCCAATCTTTGGCTGGCTAGCTCGGTCTGGCAATCTAGCCTTTTATAAGTCGTATTTGATTGATTTAAAGGATAACATTATTTAAAATTAACATCTATTTCCACACTACATTTTTAGAATATTTATCATAAAATTTGTTTTAATTTACCCTGTAATCTTAAACTGAAAAAGACACTTATATATTCTAATTTATGCAGAATAACATTCATAAAAATAATGGTTTATCTTATTTATTATCTACTAATTGACTCATGTATATGCTTTTAAATAAAATGATTTGACAGTCATTCGTAATTGTTGTTCATTTCAAATTTTAACTTTAGATGAATGGAGGATATTGGAAGAGACAATTGATATGTCGTCCCTCCCCCTTTAAAATGGGGGAAGGGGAAGAACATGTCTCCTGACCCCCACTAATTAACACCCATGTATACTGTATCCTTAAAATAAGAGAACAGAAACAATGTAATTGAGTGGAATAAACATAATTTTTTTTTAAATATTGATTTCACAAGGGCGGGGAAAATACTACTAATTAGGCAGAGGTTTGTTGTATTTGAGTCGCATTTATATGTAATACAGTGAAGACTATTTTAACAAGGGCTCAAACATATCAGTCATCACCCCTGTAATATAATTAAAAACATATAAAAAGATTGCTTACCAATATAAATAGATAAAGAAGCTTATAAGGTGAAAACCCATCTTCACCATTGTCTCTTTCATATAGCTTTTTAAATAACCTCGATTGTGAATTTCAGTTGGATCAAACATTCCAAAATTACCAGCTGGAATATTTAAATATCTAGGAGAAACAACCAATCAAAATCATAGGGTAGTTAATTTAGAATAAATACAAACATTAATAAAGTAAAATAAAAATAACATTGCTTAAAATAATAATTATTATTTGTGGCAGTTTATACCAGGGAACAGTGAAATTAATACAATATGAATAATAAACACAAGTACAATTTAAGGTGACCTGTATATCTTGTCATTTGATCTGTGGGCCAGGTGCTTTTTATACAACTGGATTAACTCATTTTTAATTTGAATAAAAAACATTTCTTTAAATATACTTCTTCTGTTCATAAATGTACATCTGTACTTCAACAGAAATTGCAGGATTCTGTATAATGCAATTTTCAAAATAAAGTTTGAATATATTTATTGATTAAATAATTCTTAGCATATTTACTGCAATATTGTTTTCTAAATGTAGAGGTTTCAATGTTGGGAACGTTACCTGTAAACTAGGAATCCTGATAAAGGCAGAGTATAGAGAAATAAAAACCAATGCAAGTTAAAAAGAAGCAGCAGAGTGGCACAAAGACTAGCCAGCATCTCTGGTATCACCCACTAAAATAGAGTAAAAAAAAAACCAAACTATTTATTTTTATATTCTGTCTGTGTTGAACTCGTTCATTCATTCATATGAATCAAAGGAGCTACAGTTTTTTTTTAATGTTGCTTCATTTTTCCTTTTTCAGTCAATAAATGAAGGAAAGTGTACCTTTAAACACTATAACTAACCTATTCAGGGGACACCTTTTTAGATCCTGAAGGTGTCCCCTTTAATAAGGGTTCTACTATATAAGATAACATAGATAATAATACAGATATGGGCATTTATAATGTGCCTCTTCCTTGAGGTTTTAAAGTGCAGTTCTTTCCCTGGTCATTGGGTCTACATGCTTTAAGTGTTGCTACTGGTAATCAGCGCAGAAGCAGGCAACCCCACCAGGTACCCATTTATACTCCTGAGTGGAGAAAAGCAATGCAGATAAAGTGCCTTGCTCAGGGACACAAGCGAGATGCATAGCGAGGTATTGAAACCCCCAACATCGAAGTTGGAAAACCAAACCATTCCTGCTGCGGCAAACCAATTCTATAACAATAATAAAAATAGTAACTCTAAATATTGATAACAATAATAAATAGTAATAATAATATTAGGCAAATAATAAACAATCATGAAGTTTAAATAATGAAGCATAAATTAATAATTTTAAAGTATTCACTGATATTTACATATGACATAACATATAATTTATTTAACAAAAATTATGATAAACATAGTAATACTGTACATGACAACAATAATGATCTCAGATTTGTATTGCAAGTGCATCTAAAAAATAGTTTCAATTTAATTTGATGATTGATTGAGTGTAAACACCAAGAATAGCCCAGGAAAGTCTAGAAGACGACTTATATCAAGTGGGGTCCTTCTGGTGGTGATTGGTAAGTACACCTGGAGACAATCAACTACTCTTTTCCGAAGAATGTACTGTGTTCTTTAACGTGCACATGGGCCATAAATACACACGGGACCAACGGCTTAAACGTCTCATCTGAAAGAAGGTGCGCTTTTGTAACTTGTATTTCAGCCCCCCAGCTGAAACACAAGGAGAAGCAACAATGGGAATTGAACCGGGGCCTTAGAGATCTCTAAGGTTCAGCGCACATTTGATTCTGGAGCTAATGAAAAATCTTAATTGCAATGCAATTAATAGTAAAAAATGACAGAATATATTGGCAACTTTTACTGTATTTAATTTAGAGCAGCATGATTGAGCATTCAAGTAATCTGACTCCAGGTCAGATAATGTGATAATCTAAGTTTGAAAATAATCGGAAAACAACATGGTTCAGCGCACATTTGATTCCGGAGGTAATGAAAAATCTTAATTGCAATGCAATAATAGTAAAAAATGACAGAATATATTGACAACTTACTGTATTTAATTTAGAGCAGCATGATTGAGCATTCAAGTAATCTGACTCCAGGTCAGATAAAGTGATAATCTAAGTTTGCAAATAATCGGAAAACAACAATCTCTTAAAACATTAAAAATAGTACTGTATTGCAATATATTTAAACACCGACCAATAACAGTGGACCCAAATTATTCGCTGCAGGGAAAGATCATGACAATTCCTCCCCTACTATTACTGAAATTTGAAACTGTAAATCAGCAGTGGGCATAAACAATTCGCCACACATAAACTTTCCTGAAAACCTTCATGCACTGCTTTCATACTGCTTTTTTTATGCTCAGTTTTAATATTACTTTTTACAAATGATCAGGCTCAAGCCAAAAAACACAAGAGTTTTTCTAGCCAAAGATAATAGGCGGGCTAGGACCTGGCCTAGGCTAGGGCCTAGCCCTGTTTCTAGAAGCAGTTGAACAAGAGTGTGCGGCCGGGAGAGTGCATCTGGACCCTGGCCTGGTGCGTTACAATCTTTTATGCCTAGGCCTAGCCTATATTGCTAAACCCGGTCATAAATCAAGATCGTTTGAAAGGATACAAAATAAACAGCAAGGAAGAGTAAAAGTGTGCTATCAATAAGCGTAAGAAGATATGTAAATACTTCACTAGACACCATCTTCAAACACTCTCATAGCACAGTTCAGGCAAATCTATGTTGTTGTTGTCAAATTGCTGTCGTGGAAGCTGTCGCGAAATGGCTGATCCACTTTTTGATTTGCTTTATAGCGCCTGGATAAGCGAGCCCATTAACGCCCACATTAAACTGTCGATGAGGGCGGTAATACATTTGTAACTCAAAACAGCAATCATGGCATTCACTTTCGTCGCATTTTGCTATCTTTTTGCAATGATATTGTCTGCTGTTCTCATATTTTTCGCTATATTTCATGTAAGTGTTCTCTAGGTTATTGGTTGTTATAGTTTCCAGCAATTTGCAGTAAAATGGCTGCGCTAACTAGCAATAAACCAAACGAGGGAATCTGTGGTGGTGTGACGGACACTTAATTTGAGTCAAGCTCAGTGTGCACAAACTGCACTGAGGCCTAGCCCTACAAACAGTGAAGTGATGGGATTGGGATGGTCTGACACTAAACAAAAGGTCAGGGTGGGGTACAAATTTATTTATTTATTTATTTATTTATTTATTCAAGACTCAACAGTGTATCAAAAACACCAATAAGAGAGTCGCCATAAAAATATACAATATCATTCATAAAAATATATAAGATAAGATTTAAAAAAAAAAAACATAAAAAAATCGTAATAATATATTAAAAACCGGTATTTAATATAAGATTAAAAATAGAAATATTACAATTAAAAATATCAATATTAGGAAAACTTTGAACTAGATTATTATAAGAAAGTGCAACACAACGAAAAATACCATTAGTACAAACATTAACACGAGAGTACGGAACTTTTAACAAATGATTGGTACGAAGCCTGCGCACAGGAACATGAAAATAAATTACTAAGGGTTTCACCTTTATAAGCTTTTGCTTCTGAAATTCTCCTTTTCCTTTTGTTATGGTTGTTTACTAAGATTGTATGTTAATTGTTAGTTATATTGTTACACATAGTTTGGAAAATGTAAGAGAAAGGAATTAAAGAAAGAGATTACAATCCATACAAAGGACTATACCTTTGAAATTTCTCTAGCTTTTGTATTACAGTAGTAAGTATTTCACTTTCATCTTTCATCAGGATAAAAATTTGCTGTGGTTGGTTAATGTTAAGGTTACCATTTCCTGCATGGGCTATATGAATTCACAGTTATCATACTACAATTACAAGGTTATGTTTCCTGTTCCAGCTCTCTAGACTGGAAGTGCTCTCTCTTCACGTGCTCCTTGGCTGTGCATTGTACCTGTGTCAGGGACAGT